AGCCACCCGTGAGCACAGCAGATGGGTGAACGGCCAATGACACCGTAGACTGGTTGGTCTGGTCTGCCTAGCTATCTGCTGACTACTTCCTTGACCATGGTCTAGACAAACGGAGATATTCTCCCCCACAGTTCGACCGGAATTTGAAATCTTCATGTCACCCGAATTTCACTACCTGTACTCTCTGTCTATTCTTATTCACGGCTCCCTGTGCTTCGCCCTGCCGCAACGATCTCTGATCTCCGGGCAAGCTTGTAAGACCAAGTCTAGGATGCGTCGCTAACTCGATCATGCCACTGTCGGGCTCTGCAGTGTCGCCTCGCCTGAGCACTGCCCAAGGAACAGTCCTAGAGCAGGAGCAGTATGTCTCATGCTTCATTCTGCATTGAACGAGTCTCTACTGACTGAAAAGGTTTCGTTCGGCTCATTCTCAGGATGACATCAACGAGCGCTCCGAGTCCACTAGTGGGCGACTTGCAATCCATAGGCGAGACAAGTCAAGTTCAGCGGCTTCCTTGACCGCTTACGCACAACTGGCGACGTATCGGTTCGGCTGCAGCCACTCATTTGTGGTTCGTTTCGACCATGGACGGGCGAATATCATTGCGGAAGCATCACCTTCTCTCCTGTTAGATGGAGAGGAGGGGGTTGGCGTCGATGGGGAGGTTCACCGGCAAGTAAAGGTGTTGAGCCTGCGCCTGGTTGAGGCTCATGTCGTCGATACTTCCAACGCTATTGCCAACAGCACCCGATGCGTCATACGTGATCTCACGCAGGACAATCATTATGACAACGAGGTGATCCAATTCTTCGCAGCGGTCCCGATCCATGATGTGAACAAAGATACTATTGGTGCTGTTTGTGTTGTAGACAAGACGACACATCCGAATTTTGGAGATAGTGAGGTCGCAAGCATGCAGGAGATTGCAGACCTGGTCGCTGGTACTATCAAGGATAGCTCGGCTGAAGAGCATCACCTTCAAGCAGAGCGGCTCATCAATGGTCTGACCACTTTCGTCAGCGGTCAGGCCGTCCCTGACCTTGAGCAAAGTTATCACTCCCAGAGACGGCCATCATACCTTCCGGGTATTGATGATCTTTCGATCTCTGAGAGATCTAGCGTGGGCTCGCCACAACACACACATTCCCAAACTCCTGGGACTTCGCCAAACCAGTTCTTCTCAAGAATCCGCGGAAGAAGAAATTCGGTGACTGTTATCGAGGGAAGCACCGTATCCCATTCAATGTCGCTTTTGTTCTCCCGTGCTAGTGCTTTGCTTCAGAGATGTATGGAGCTAGACGGCGTGCTTTTCCTGGACGCTACTCGAAGTAACGCTCGAAGGTTCGTCTCGCCTGACAGTGCTCGTTATCAATCTAACGTCTCCAGCTCCTGCTCTCCTAGCATGAGTGACCTGGAAATACTCTCCAAGGACGGCGAGTCTTGCATCAACTCTCCGGGCCTATCCTCAGCCGGGCCTTGGCGAGAGAGGGTATGCGAGCCTTTGGGCTGTGCGTCATCGGAATCTGCAAATCGTTATACCTCGCACTATTCAATCTCAGAAGGCTTGCTGCATGACTTGTTCGCCGCGTACCCAAAAGGCACCATCTTCGATAGCCGCACCCTCGTTGACTGTACTAGTCAGAAATGTGGTCATGTCACGGATGCAAAGGGATCGCGTCATCACGCAATCATTCTCCGTCTGGTACAGGACCTTCCAGAGGCCAGGTCGCTCCTTTTTCTCCCAATGTGGAACTGGAATACATCGCGCTGGCTGGCCGGTGCCCTCTTGTGGACGTCTGACAGCCAACGACACTTTGAACAAACCGATTTGTTCTATGTCAAAGCATACGGTGACTCAATTGTCTCAGTAGCGGCTCAAATGGACTGGCAGGCGACGGAAAAGTCCAAATCAGATTTATTGTCGTCTGTCAGCCATGAGCTAAGATCACCGCTACATGGCATGCTTGCCAGTTTAGAGCTGTTGCGCACGACAGATCTTCAACCGGCTCAGCAGGACATGCTCACGATGATTGAAACCTGTGGGTTGACACTGTTGGATACGCTGAATTATCTGTAGGTTGGCAGCTCCGTCGGAGGTATCTCACTAACATACATGCAGGTTGGATTTTACGAAAATCAACAACCTGACCAGTGCAGACGCAAAGAATGACGGGGATACTGAGACCTCACTCGCCGATCTAACGTGCGAATTCGATTTGGACACTCTGGTAGAGGATGTGGCGGACACCCTGTATGCAGGTCACCGGTCCCTGATCAACGCTTCTCAAGTCGCCGGCCGGTACCTGCCTAGCGGGCCAACGGTGGGAATTAGATCTGCCAAGGGCACCGAGAACGTCAAAGAGTCGGACGACTTATCGGTGATTGTCCGGTTTGAGCCCGGAGACTGGAAAGTGCGTTCGATCCCTGGCGGATGGCGCAGAATCGTCATGAACCTGCTGGGCAATGCATTCAAGTTCACCAAGTCTGGGTTCATTGAGGTCATCCTCGCCAGGAAGACAGAGAGGACCTGCGGCACGAAGAGGGTGTATGCTCTATTGACAATCACAGATACCGGATGTGGCATCTCTCCGGAGTACCTGGAGCACAAACTATTTCAGCCATTTACTCAAGAGAACATCCTGACGGAAGGAGTTGGCCTAGGACTCAGTATCGTCGACCGACTAGTGACGAATGTGGGTGGTCAGATTGATGTGAAGAGTACCGTCGGTACCGGAACTCAATTCGAAGTGTACATTCCGGTTGAATTTGTCGATACGCTGGTGGGTGGTGCTTCTGGGCAAGAGCAACCAGAGAGTGGTTCGGTCTCTCGAGTGAGTCTGGTCGGACTGAACGTGTTTTCCCATATGAAGAGCGCAGGCCGAAGACTGAGCGTTGACGCGAAGAGGAGGCTGTCAGTTCGCAGTGCACTGAGTAATGCAATCCTCAGCCAGCCTGGCTGGACAGTCTCCTTTGCCGACACTTTATCTCAAGCAAAAGGCGATATTGGTATTATCGAGGAGAGCAGTCTGGCTGAGATGGAAGGGCAGGAGCCAATAACTACAGAACTGAGAGGACTGGCCATACTAGGACAGTATGGTAGTAACCTTCCAATCGATCCTGTTACGAAAGAGCTGGATGTCGTCTACGTTCCTCAACCGTAAGCAGCACCAAATTCCGAGCAAGTGTGAAACTAACAGGATAGACTCACGCCTCGAAAAATTATCCGCGCGCTGCACACAATTTCCGGCTTGCCCCAAGGTTCGGATCATATCGACAATGCCAATAGTATCCCATCTCGTGGGCGCAGCTTATCGGAAGCTTTTGCCCTGGCAAAACAGACCGAGTCGCCTCCGGTGGTGCAGGAAACCGTGGACGAGTTCCGGGCCTCGACACCCAAGGCCTCGGGAACGACCGATCTTCATGTCCTGATTGTGGACGATAATGATATCAATCTCAAGATACTGGCTACCTTTATGCGTCGCATCGGGTGCAGCTACGAGACAGCGAATAATGGACTCGTGGCGCTGGAGAAGTACCGGCAGTCCGAGCGCCAGTTCAACTATATCCTGATGGGTAGGTTGCGTCCTTTGAGATTCATGGCCCAACTAACAGGCAATAGATCTTTCCATGCCAGTTATGGACGGGATTAGCTCCACAAGCAAGATTCGAGAGTACGAGGAGGACAATTCCCTTCCCCGGGCTGTCATCATGGCCGTGACAGGAGTCGCGTCGGCGACGATGCAGCAACAGGCATTTGCTGCGGGGGTCGATGATTATCTTGTGAAACCTCTCTCACTGCGTGATTTGAAACGAGTGATGAATATCGCATGACATGACTTTGCCAGCAAATTGTACAAGTTGTATACCACAGCATCAATATAACAACCTTCCACATTCACCAATACACCAAGATAGAAAATAGGAACTTAACGTATACTCCACCAGCATATCAATAATACTCAGAAGCTAACAACCATGACTCCCTTCCGTAGCTGGTTCCGTACACCCATTGGGACACAGCTTCGCATGTCCCACATCCCCAGGATTCTTGCAGTGGAAGAGCACATTCTTCAGGTCCGCAGTCTCCAGATCCGTCCCTTTGAGAACAGCTTCGAGGTCCGCCTCGGCAAAGCCTGCATCCATTAGTACCCCATCATGGGAGAGTGAGAGACAGAAAAAAAATACCCTTGTCAGCAATGAGCTTGTTGGCGCAGTAATCGAAACTCGGCGTGCAGGTTTTTGCGCCTAGGGCGGCGCCGGCCAGCGCGAGGAGGAAGAGGGTTGATTTCATTTTGGGTTGTGTTTGGGTTTTCCATGAGAGAAGGCGATGGGGTATTTATGTACAGTCAGGCCTTGCATTCTGTATCGAGGTGAGGTATTTATCTGGACTGGAATGACTGGAATGTGGTCGGGGGTGGTTGGCATGGATGGCGGCGCGTGGCATGTGGATTGTACGTCATACAGCGCATTCATTGGACTTGATCTGGATCTTGCGCCTGCTGCAGAAGAGATACCTGGAATGTGGATTTATATGAATAATGTAGAGGTGAGGATATGGTTTGGAGATGTTTGTGTTGCGATATTTTTCCTTGATATGACCGTTCGGCGCTGGAGCGGATCTATCTTTATCCATAGGGTTATTCCATCTTGGGAGATAATGATAGCGTTCTCTTGTTTTCCTAAAATAGATAGACAAGCCAATGCAATAGAATAATAGGATCAAGGTCGGAGTCCAAAAGTGTTGACAGGTTACCTTGAACACTGGCATAGCACTGCAACAATTACTGTGACAGCACGAGCGGACGCACCGATCATGTCTAATTCACTGGGATCTGCTCCAGAGTACTGGCGCTTATCCAGATAATAGGAGTCTAGCCGTACAACAGACAGGTTCTTGGGTCTTAGATCTAAACGTAAACTGTAACTCTTCGATGATGCACATCTTTTTATTTCATTCTATCAATAGTCTTGTCAGCTGTCCTCCACTATGTAGATAGACTTAATGCAATCGCAACGTAGCCAACCCCCCATCAACAACAACCTGCTCCCCCGTGGTGAACGTCGCCTCGAACCCCAAAAACACCACTGCCTTGGCCACCTCCGCCGGGTCCGCAATCCTCCCCATCGGCGTACCCTTCACCCCCTGCCCCTCAAACTCCACCAACTCCTCCCTCGACGCCCCCACCACCCCCATCGTCGGCGTCTTCACGAACCCAGGCGACACAGCATTCACACGCACCTGCGCACCCACCAACTCCGCCGCCAGCGTCTGCACAAACGAGTGCAACGCCGCCTTGGAGGCGGCGTACCCGGCGTTGATGAAGAGGAGGTCGATTGTGCGGCCTGTTCCGAAGAAGGACGAGGCTGTATCGACGAGGGTGCTGATGGACGGTAAGGAGGTGATGTCGCAGGGGATGACTTTGGTGGCGGGCCCGAGCTGGGCGGTTGAGAGGCCGATGCCGTGGCTACCGCCGATGATGAGGGCTGTTTTGTTTGTGTAGGACATTGCACTGGCTGGTTGTTGGGGCTGAGGTTGAGGTTCTTGGAGGATGAGTTGGACTCTGCGAGCATAATTGGGACTATATATGCTTCCTCTGTTTCCATCCGACTGTGTACAGTACAGCTTGCTGACCAATTCAGTATTTCTAAGCATCAATCCTAGATACTAACAGTGTGTCATGATATGAGATAGAGCTCGTATTCCTCCTTGGCTACTTGGCATACTGCAGTTCTGTGAGTCAATCCTTCTTAAGGGTATGGATTATTATAAATCAGCGTAACATGTGGCCTGACAAATCCAGTCAAGCAATCAGTCAGTGAAGAGATTTCATGTCACCACGGAGTCGGCGCTCACATGAGGATAGGATAGCAGGGTGAAGTCAGCGCGGAGTAGGACCCTGAACAGCCATGTCAATACTAGTCGCGCGTGAATCCGGTATGCCGTTACGTACATAGGCTACTATCCCATCCTGGTGGATATGGACCGGATCCGCTCTCCTGGAACGAGTTATTCGCTAATAGCTGCTGGCTGAGAGGCCGCTATTCTTAAAGAAAGCCCATCCGGGTGAAAATATTGAACTCATCGGCCGTCGGCATTATGGAACGGCCCAGGTTTGTCTCATAGATCAGGTACTAAATATGAAACAAGCCACACTAATCCCATTCCACCAGGGCCTGTCACTTGACAGCTACACTTGCGCCAGACACCCGAATCCCGGTAAAAGGCAAGCCGTTTCCCGGCATTAGCCACGGAATTCAAGGAAGACAAGATCAGCAAAGTGGGCCTGCCTGTCAACCTCGCAGCTTCGAGATCTAGAGCTCTAATATTGTCGAGAAATTCGTCGCTGGAGTGGAGATGCTCTTACGGTCTTACCTTAGCCTTAGGGCTGATGAGAAATATATCCGATGCTCGGGATGCCGAAGCTAAAAGAATGATGTGGTTGGCGGAGAGCAGATATAATGGACCCATTTGCGGATATACGCCTCGGATGTATGGATTTACGGGTTAATCTGATACGCATGAAACTGACTTTGTATAAATAGTTGGACTGGAATGAATTAGCTTTGAAGAGCTGTGTCCATGGTCGAGTTGTTTTGTTTGGAAGGTTGAGCAGATCGTGCAGAATGGACACCCCCTCATCCGGCACGATCGACCTCGAACATGGCGAGAGAGGTCTACGAAAGCGACTAACCCTCACATTTCGGAATGTCAGTGTCCACGTTACGGCGCCGGATGCTGCCTTGGGAGATACGCTTCTCTCCGTGGCTGATCCGCGGCAGTACCTTGGTTTCTTGAAAGGGAGTCGGCCAAAAAGGGTATGTCGGCACTGTTGTCCAATGGCAAATGCTAACGGAATAGACTATACTGAAAGATGTCAGTGGGCAGGTCAAACCAGGCGAAATGGTAAGTTAACCCGAATGCCGTGGTGATGCAACTAACTCACGTTGTCAGTTGCTGGTGCTGGGTCGTCCCGGGTCAGGATGTACCTCGCTTCTACGCGTGCTTTCCAACGACCGCGAGTCCTTTGACGAAGTCGTCGGCGAAACCCGATACGGGAGTATGTATCACCTCGCTGCGAGACGCTTCCGGCAGCAGATCATGTTCAGCAACGAGGACGACGTGCATTTCCCCACGCTGACGGTCAACCGCACGTTGAAGTTTGCGCTGCGGAATAAGGTGCCGCGGGAACGGCCGGAGGGACAAGGGTCGAAGGAGTTTGTGCAAGAGCAGCGGGATGGGATCCTGGCTTCGCTGGGGATTCCGAACACGACAAAGACGCTGGTAGGAAACGAGTTTATCCGTGGTGTCTCTGGTGGTGAACGGAAGCGTGTGTCGCTCGCCGAGGTGATTGCCGGACAGAGCCCGATACAATTCTGGGATAATCCGACCCGTGGTCTCGACTCCAAGACGGCCGTTGAATTCGCCCGGTTGCTGCGCCGCGAGGCGGACATTAATCACAAGACGATGGTGGCCACCATGTACCAGGCCGGCAATGGCATCTACAACGAGTTCGACCAGGTTCTGGTTCTGGCCGATGGACGGGTGACATACTACGGACCGGCCCATATCGCCAGCTGGCAAGGAGCTACTTTGAGGATATGGGCTTCGTCTGTCCGAAGGGAGCCAATATAGCTGATTTTCCGACATCCGTGACTGTGCTCACCGAGCGCATTGTACGGCCGGGGATGGGGGACAAAGTTCCCAGCACCGCAGAGGAATTCGAGAGCCGCTACCGCCAGAGCGATATCTATCAAAAAGCAATGGAAGGTGTCGACCCGCCGGAGAAACTCACACACGAGGTGGACGAGCTGACGGCCGCCGTGGCCAGCGAGAATCAATCAATCAATCAATCAATCAAGATTCTATTAACCTGATGTAGCCTATCTATTGAAGCGATTAGCTATGGGGCCAGCGAGAAACGCAAGCGGCATTTCCCTCAGACCCCAAGTGTGTACACCGCAAGTCTCTGGGAGCAGATACGGGCGTGCACCATCCATCAGTTCCAGATCATGGCGGGCGACAGACTGTCTCTCATCATCAAGGTGGTATTAGCCATCCTGCAGGCCTTGGTCTGCGGAAGTCTGTTCTACAACCTCAAAGACGACAGCTCGTCCATCTTCCTGCGCCCGGGCGCGCTGTTCTTTCCTGTCCTCTACTTTCTTCTCGAGTCCATGTCCGAGACGACCGCCTCATTCATGGGCCGGCCCATCCTCTCACGGCAGAAGCGGTTTGGATTCTACCGGCCGACTGCATTCTGTATCGCAAACGCCATCACCGACATCCCTGTCGTCCTCCTGCAAGTCTCCTGTTTCTGTATCATCCGATACTTTATGGCAGCACTGCAGATGGACGCCGGTCGGTTTTTCACCTACTGGATTATCGTCATCGCAAACACGCTGCATGAGGATGATCGACCGGGCATTTCCAGAGGATCATCCAAGATTTGGGGGGATATTGAGGCGGAGGTGGGGAGGTAGTGGTATGCCTGATACAAGCTCAACTGTAACAAATATAGGTTATAAATACGACCATAGAATACAATACATAGTCACGGAACATGGGTCTTTGGAAAAATTTCAAAAGTAGTTTAGCAAGTCTTGGCATCGGGGCTCAGAAAACAGCTAAAGAATATAAGACCCGGGCGCCATTTTTGCAAACAACTGTATGGCGATTCGAATCCCTACTATATGATGATCGAATCATTCGATATCCCTACTATATAGTGATTCGATATCCCTACTATATAATGATTCGAATCATTCGATATCCCTACTATATGGTGATTCGATATCCCTACTATATGACGATTCGAATCCCTACTATATGACAATTCAAATCATTCAATATCCCTACTATATAATGATTCGAATCCCTACTATATGACGATTTGAATCATTCAATATCCCTACTATATGGTGATTTAATACAGTCACTATTTCTTTTATGATTATAACTTTGTGGAAGTAGTGGCTATAAGTAATACAAGCAGGTGACAGTAAAAAATTTATTTTGGCCGGTTTGTACATTCAGTCCGCCATAACTACCCCAGGAAAATATCTACAATGACGGGATAGCCGCAGTAAGGTGACCATACAACAAAGACAACACCAAGCGGCTCAAAACATGCATACCTACAAATATCGGTACACGGAAGGACTGTCACAGCCGGCTGTGCTCCCCACTGACGCGCAAAGTTTAGCCATTAATATTTTCTAAAGGTTCGGGTTTTGCGGGGACCGGGATGTTGTAGTAATGTGCCCCATCGGTCCATATTACGGAGTATGCACAGACTGCAGAACCCGACGGGGTTAAGACGAAACATATCCGACTCTATCTCCGGAGGTAGTGAATGAGTAGGTGGGCACTTGCACCAGTTTACAGGCACAGCTGTTTTGCAGCTTCACTGACAACCACGGATCGATCAATTGACCAGACGGCGGAAGCGGGTTTTGGTCTCTACCCGACCACGCCACCTACCCCACCGATAGTGCTGTCTCGGGTAATCAGTAGTCGCCGTGTCGGCGAGGGGAGCTCCGAAGAGGACTATGCGAAGAGGTCACTGAACCTGTCTCAACTTCATCAGTGGTACGCAAATGTTTCGGAGCCCATCCAGGAGGGTGCCACTCAGGACTGGTAGACGCAATGCCACTTTGGCTGAAAACGGAACTTGGCCGCTCCCATGACCCAGCAATGGGCTGGCCTTGGGTTTATGGCAGACCACTATAACAGAGGCTGCAGCCACTGTTGTATAAGAGTTGGTTTGTGATATTGCATTATTCCTTTGMCTTCCTCCTAACAATCATGGCTCTTCCTTACAAGAAGGTACTCCTGGTTGGGGCTACATCTGGTGAGTGTTCCAAGCGTGTGCTAGGCTATCTCCTCACTTTACCTTACATGGAACATAGAATCAGCGTTCCAGTCGTTGACTCAAATCCTCAGGTATCGGTCGTGCTTTAGCCGGAAGCCTTGTCGAGCATGGCTGCTTCGTGATTGCCGTTGGTCGACGACAGGAGCTCCTTGACTTGTTTCTACAGGAATACGGCGCGGACAAGGCTGCATCTTTCAGCCTCGATATCAGCAAGCTAGATGCAATTCCAGACTTTGTAAAGAGGTACGTCATCCTGTCAGCTTCTCCAGTGTTTGCCTATGATATTGATATGGTTGACCGTTGGTCTGAGCAGTGTGACCTCATCCCATCCAGATTTAGACTGCGTCTTTGTCAACTCGGGGATTCAACGGCGGTCTGTTTTTAGTGAGCCAGAAAGCATTGATATGAATCAGATTCAGGATGAGATGACAGTAAGGTAGTCATTAAACCTTGACCGGTACATTCTTTTCCTTATATTTAACTGACAATGTTTCTAAGTCAACTATGTTTCCTACGTTGCATTGGCGAAGGAGTTTCTACCCTTTCTTATCGCCACAAGGGACACTCCAACATCACTCATATTGTAAGTCGTGGGCAAATACTTGCTTCTGATTTCTGAGTTATTCGCGCCTGACAAGAGATAATGCACCAGCACTTCGTCCAATCTCGCACTAGTTCCCATTCTTCGCTGCTCCAACTACTGCGCTTCCAAGGCTGCGCTGCATCATTGGATCCTCTGCCTGCGGGAGCAGCTAAAGAACACAAACATCAAAGTGATTGAGATCTTTCCACCTATCGTGCAAAGTATGTATGCCTGAGGATTCGTTCATTCCGGGGGTTGGGAAGAGAACGAAAGAAGATACTATAATACGATACTAATTTTCCTGCGCTGCAGCCGAACTTCATGATCCAAAGCACCAACATGACATGGCAGAAACGGTCCATGGAAAGCCCTTTGGTATCCCAGTAAAGGAATTTACTGAGGAGGTTCGTCTTCTATTACACATGTGACGTTGCGAGTTCATCTAACACCCTTGTGCAGACGATGGAGAAGCTTCTTGCTGGAGACGACCAGATTCCAGTAGGTCTGTCGAATATTGCCTTTAACAGCTGGGAACAGCAGCGCCAGCAGGCCTTTCGGGGAGTGGTTGAGATGGTGCGAAAAGGCGGATTTTAATGTATCCCTCCAGTGGCGATATAAACGCGGTGTATTGATTTGGTAGCCTTGCATGAGATGCATAGACAGCTATATATCAGATCTGTATCTATAGTGTATTAGGTACCGTGGCAAGGAGCCTGCTATATCAATCTATGCCATGTATTAGCCATGCGGCGAATTTGATCGTTGGCTGAGCATTGCTTTAGAACCGAGGTACTTAGTTAATATATATCATTAATTGAGCATCACGACTCTATTTGAATGGTCTTGCCTTCTAATATCCGACTGGTTACTATGTGTCTGTGACCGCTGCTACTCTAGTTCGTTCTCTGCGAAGCCCTCTTGAGAAGGGGATTCGCTGCCAACTGCCAGTGACTAAAACGAAACCTACAGAAACATTCTATGTGACATTGCTGCATGCTGGACTCAGCCACATCGCACCTACTACTTGACCTAACAGCAATCAAGGCTAGTTAGTCGTCGCGTTTTAAGCGCCTACATGGGCGGTTTCTGTGAAATTAGACTAACATATCAAAATGTTGCCATGATTGATCCGCGCAACGGCTGTACATAACAAGCGTCCTTCAAAGTCGGGTCCAATATTTGTGTTTGTCGCCCCGCAAAGCAGAGGAATTAACCAAACAATTGGATGCTCTTGTCAAATAACGGACTAACCTGCTCTCCACTCTCGAATGGCAAGTTACTAAGAGCCTTAGCTCAACCCTAGAGGGGCTAGTTTACTATACTAAAATATTACCGAATGCTACCTACCCCCGCAAGACACATGCTAATCAGTACAGAAATGCAGTCTAGCGCCAACAGCATCGATTTCAGAAACAATGGTTGGTGGATATGGTAGAATACACCCAACAGCTCATGACTTGTTATCCTAGCGTGGTGCTTGGGTCGCCTGTTTGTACACTATTGACATTGGCAATCTTCTACTGGACGCAAAAATTATTCTTTCTCTTTTCTCCCCTTTAAAAGGGCTGTGCTCCTGTCTTTCCGCAATCTTGTTGTCGATCTTCTTCCACATTTCTATCCTCTCTCAGTTCTGCACACAAGAAAGAAACAATCAAAATGCGTACCTCATTCCTCCTCCCCGCAGTCCTTTACGCCCTGGCAGCCCATGCCGACGACAAAACCACTACTGTCGGCTACTTCATCCCCAACTGGTCCGCCACCTTGTTGAAATACGGCGGCTGGACCAGCACGGGCGCCAGCGTCGCAGGGATCAACGCCGCCGCAACAACCTACAACGTGGGCTGTCTGAAAGACGCCCCCAAGACCGACTGCAACATCAAGAACTCCTGGACAATCATCCAGGGCCCGGAAACTGTCAGCGTGACAGGCGTGTACACCGCCTCGACATCGGGCAAGGAAACGAGCTACGATATCACCGTCACGCAGTCGTATGAGTGCAAGATTCGGTCCCGCACCGAGTCGGCCAGTTGCACGATGAGCATTGGGATGACTGGGTCCGCGGGCGGTGCTACGGTCGGGTCGTCGACGTCGAGTAGCGCGACGTATTCGCCGGCGACGGGCTCGTACGTTGAATTGGTTGTTACGGCTGGTGCGGACAAGTTTACTTCACCTGAGGCGACGAAGACGCCTGGCGCTGCTGCTGCTGGGCCTGCGGGGGCGTTGATTACGGCCGCGCCCGTTGTTGCCGCCGCCGTTGCTGCTTTTCTTTGATGTCTGGTTGTAAATATTTCCTGCGCAGCTGATGTCCTCTCTTGCTGTAATGACGCGCCCCTTCTGGTATAGCCTCACGAGTATCTCTCTGCAATCTCCAGGAAAGTGCGCGCTACAGTGTAGTCTACCACATCTCGCCAGTTGGATCAATTGTTCTATGGTGACAACATATAAATAGTCGACGTTGCTCGGTCTAAAGCACTATCTAAGCATAAGAAAATCTACCATACATGCTCCACAAAACACCAAGGTATAAAGGCTTGAAAAACAGATAAAACCAGAGCACCAGCAGCTCTACTCCACCAAAGACATCACAAACAACGACAAAACAGCCATCGCAAGAACAACCAACCACAAGAAAATCCCCAGCACCATCGCCACCCGCTTATAATACCGCAAATAGCCCGCCTCATTGCCATGCGGGAACGGGTTCGGCCTCTGCCGCCCCAAAAACTCACACAGAGGTCCCCACCCATCCTGACACTTGAAGACCAGCAACCTCTCCCTCGGCACGATACTCTTCACCCACGCACTGTGCGCATGGTACAGCTCCTCCGACGGCTCGGCCTCGACTCCGAACCGCTCGGACGCAAGCCGCATCCACCCGCGGTAGAGATCGTTGGCTGCCACGACGCCGGGAACCCAGTATCCGATCCAGCGGAAGCAGTCAGAGCGCAGGTCGATCCCGAAGCCGCGCCATGAGCGCAGCCAGACAGCCGCGGAGGTGCGTTCTGTCAGGATGACTTTGGCGTCGGGGTACATTTCCAGGAGATCCGGTAGGCATGCACTGCCGGGGACCTCGAGGGTGACCTCGCTGCCTTGGAGGAGCTTGGCGAGCTTGCGCCGCCGGAGAGCCGTGTCCTTTGTGTGGACTATGGCGGCGCTTTGGCGGAGGTTGTCGAATTGGCAGAGGGGTTCGGCGAGGTGGAAGCATGGGCCGTAGCCTAGTTCTTCGAGGGCGCGCTTCATGCTGATTGTGCCGGTGCGGGGGAGTCCGGCCTGGGTGTGTTAGTTATGTGTCAGTTTTGTTTTGTTGCTGGGTAGACGTACCACGATGACTTTCATGGTTCCTGCATGGTGTACACCTGATGTGACTTGGAGTTTTGCGTCTGCTTTGGGGTCGGGGCTGGTGATCGTGAGGCCAGATTGAAGGACCAGGCCTAGGGTGTGGATGCTGAGCTTGTAGTAGAGCCAGGAGTTGGACTTGTGCATGTCCATTTGCAGTTTTGTGGTCTCCATTGTGAGATGTGCTTTAGAGTTGTTGAGATGAGTGGTAAGTGAAGAAGTGATCGACTTTGACGCGCATTGAGTGCGTATTAGTAGACTTCCGACCCTAGGAAGTTGACTCTATTGAGGTGATATGGCCCCCATCGCGAAACCCACAACACGAACATAGCCCTCTTCAATCCAACATTTCTAACAGAAATAGCCTACTTGCTTTACTTCAGTGGATTACTCGAATTGCTGTGAATAACATCAATTCTGACATCAGATAGTTGGGGCCGTTGGCGGTCCAATAAGCATCGCCAAGTGATCTTGACGATCTTGACTTGTTCCAGCCAAGGGCAGCCCCAACACGAGGCATCCTGAATTAATAACCTTAATCCAGATAATTTTAGCCCCTCATGCAACTTGCGCCTCCCAGCAGACCCTTATCTGGAACCCACACGAGGCTCTGCATGAAGCATTTGGCCCCAATAGTGAAACATCCCCTCGTGAGCCTTCAGCTTGGGCAGCTTGCAGTCAAAACCTGCAACATCCGATCAGGGGTTTACTTCTGATATCAAAATAACCATGTGTGCCTCGCGTGGGTGATCTTCATGACTAGAATATTGCCGGATCGAGATGCGTAAACCCCCATGGGGCTAAGAGCCCAGCGACTCTGTGGACAAGGCTGCTTCACCCTCTACTCCTCTCCTTCGCCCCTAAGTGGTGGTCGGAATTGAAGAAGATTATCAGAGGCAATTTTCTTCGTATCTAGTGGTGAATAAGTGTCGTGTCTAATATTAGACCAGATCAACGTTACATCTTCATCGTATAGGACCCTGCGGCGGAATTAGAAGCTTCATACATTCGTGAATGTTCTTGTTTATGGTAGTATGCCTCGGGCGAAGCCTTCCAGCAGTAGGTCGTTTGGGCTATCTTGTCCTTATCCTACAGGCACATAGAACTTTTCTGTCAGGGGTCGAACGGGTATGATCATATGTGAAGAAAGAAGCGCATGCCAACTTATCCGCGATTTATATGTAGTTAGATCGAATGAACAGCTTGTATACTGCACTCAGTACTGTTTTTGTCAATGCTTCATGTAAATATATGTTGTGACAACAGAGAGACAAACACATTTGCGAAAGGTCTCCAGAGAGAAATGCCTATAGGTCTGTAAATTGTATTAATATATTATTCTCTTCGTGATTTAGTTGAGTGACTTTAGTCACAATTTGTAGATAGTTATCGTGAGAAATTACGGAACCCTCCAGTTTCCTCCAAGCATATTGACTAGATTACACCGATCAAGGAACAATATGTAGGGAGTGATGCTATGAGTGGGTAGATCCAAGCAAATGATGAGATTGAACAAACAATGTTAAGCAAAGTAAATACATAAAACAATCAGCGATAGAATGATAAACTTGTAGCACCAGAGAACCCATGGCTCCTAAAGCAACGTCAACAACACATCTCAAATCTCCTCATCCTTAAGTGAATCAGCTTTTCCTGCCGTCAAAACCACCACCTTCCTCGCAGTCAGAGCAACCGCCGTGGCAGACAGCGTAATGATATACTCCATAACAATGACCATGAGGAAATGCAGCCAAATCCCCGTGTCATCCTCCGACATTGGGTTCAACACGGACCCATCCCCGGAAAACAACGATCCAGCCGAGAACGCCAAGCGGACACTCATAAAGGGCACACAGAGCAAAGCACAAACGACAGCCGCGCGCTCCGTGCGGTAGAACTTCACCCGGACCTTCAGCATTGTGAATACGGCGAGGATGACAATCCCAGCAAAAAGGGCGATGAAGAGGATGATGCCGGCGCGCATCAAGCGGAGGTCTTCTGCTTGGCTATCCCGGCTTGTGTAGAGGTCTCGGCCTCCGTATGCGGTCATCACCGTCGCCGCTATGGTGATCATTTGCAGCGGGATAAAAACCCAGAGAGGCAGGCCTTTGTATACGGGGGCGTTGCTGCGATCGGTGTTAGAAGATGTGCCGGGTAGAGGAGGTGACTTACGCTCGGATCAAAAGTGCTATCAAGAGACACAAGACTGGTGCGAGTCCGATTGTGTCTAGGAGGGTGGCTGTCGTCAGGAGATTGGATTTTGCAGGGTCCATAGCTGCCAGGCCCAGTCCTGCGGCAGCGATTCGCAAGCCGGAGAGGATGATGAGCGGAATCACGATCGGACGCCATGTGTAGGGGTGCTTGTTGCCATGCAGAAGAATGATGAAGATAATAGCAGGGACGATGGGGGCGTAGAATGCGAGTTCGATCAGGTAAATTGCGTCTCGTAGGGCGAACATGGTGAGCTTGGAAATGTCAAACAGATGGGCGGGACAGTTGAGCTTGAGGAGGTTCTAGATGAATTTCTAAATCTACCGTGTTATGAAAAGGACGATAAAGAACTATAACTACAGATTGCTTCGATCATTGCCATCGAGATGCCACGGCTATCATTGCTGATTCCTAGAGGCGTGATATCCATCCGGCGGCCCCATGGCCCCCATCTGACACACATCGCAGAGGCGAGGCAAAATTAATCACATACGAGACATCCCAAAGTCTCTGAGCAATGATGTTGCAAGATGCAGTCTACTGATCTATACAATATACAAAGACGCATGGATTGTACCGTATACTAAGACACATGGAGTGTGATGAGTGGGGGCGATCCCTGCACCGCCCTAATCTCGTAGTTAAGGTTTAGTGATGAATCCCCACTCAATAGAAGCACTGCCATGGATACCAAGCAATCATCAGCCAAGCCTGGTGTTTCAGTCTTACAGGGGTTATTTTCAGAGGATCTGCTGTTAGTATACGGGAACTTGGCCCCAAAAAGCCAGAAATAGATACAACATCACGATTCACGACACAACCATCACAGAATCAGCCTTGACCCCTTGGGAACGAATATATAAGAGCTCAACGACAGACTCACTTTTGACACAACAAATCAAACAGAATCGCACCCAACAGTATGCTTGAAGCTGAATACCTGGCCTACCTCGTCGTCTCTTCACCACTCCAACTCTGCATCTACTCCACCAGCGACGACTCCTGGTCCTCAACACCCGAATACAACCATGCTCGCTCTACTTCTCATCCTAGTCGCTCTCGCGAGCTACTTCCTCGTCAGACTGCGCCAGCAACGCAGCATGTTCAAAAATCTCCCTGGTCCGCCGCATCACGCTATCTGGGGTCACTTTTTAATCATGCAAGAAATCGCAAGCACTCTACCCCCTGATGCAACTCCACAGCTGTTCGCGCACTTGATGCGCCAGCGGTACGGTCTCGGTGACTTCTTCTACCTTGATCTGTGGCCGCTCGCGCCCCCGCAGCTTGTCATTGCCCATCCGGAACTGGCGACACAGATTGTCCACAAGATGAATCTTCCCAAAGAGTCGGCTGTCATGCAGAAGTGGACGGGTCCTATCCTTGGCGAGAAGTCTATGGTCTCTGCGAATGGACATGACTGGTTCATTGCTCGCAAGTCTTTCACTCCGGGCTTTCAGCCACGGAAGCTGTTGCAGCATGTTCCGAATATCGTGGATGAGGCGCTGGCTTTTGCTGATGTGCTAAGAGAACATGCTCAAAGGAATGATATCTTCAGAATGGAAGATCTAGGCGCAAGGATGATATTTAACATTTCGGCTTGGGTGATCTTGTAAGCCACACATCCTTTGTCGCGGATCAAACATCAACTGACAGAGAATAGGGGAATCAAGTGCAACGCGCAGAGGGATGATGATGAATTCCTCGAGCTCTTCCGGAAACAGGCCGCCCTGGCACCTCAGGACTTCTGGTCTCGGTACCTCTACGACGTCAGCCCCCGCCGACACTATCAGAAGTGGAGCAACGGACGTGCTCTAGACCGTTACGTCGGTCGCCTGGTAGACCAACGAGTCGTCAGTGGTCCGACAGCTGTTCTAAGCGAAAAAGCCAAATACTACGCCATCGACGACGCCATTGCTACCAGCCGCACCCTGAACAAGTCTATCCCACCTACCACCGCCATGGATAAATATACCCGGGACATGCTCATCGCGTCCGTCAAGACGCTCATCTTCGCTGGTCACGACACCTCAGCCAGCACTCTCTGCGTAAGTCCTTTGCTCTCTTTACTCTACCACCACTAACAATAGTCAGTATACATACGCCGCCCTAAGCAAACACCCCCAAGTCCTCCACACCCTCCGAGAAGAACACAACACCCTCTTCGGCTCTGACCCCTCCGCCGCCGCGAATCTCCTCCGCAACGATCCAAATCTCGTCAACAACCTACCCTACACCCTCGCCGTCATCAAAGAAGCCCTCCGCCTCTGGCCCCCAACAGGCGTCAGCCTCCGCCGCGGCCAACCAGAGCAAACCCTCCTCGCAGACGGCAAGGAATGGCCCACATACCCCTTCGCCGTGCTCGTCAACAACTGCGCGACCATGCGCCGGGAAGATCTCTTCAAGGACGCGGAGAGATTCTATCCCGAACGGCACCTCGTTACCGACCCCGCGGATCCGTACTTTGTCCCGCGCGACGCATGGAGACCGTTTGAGAAGGGACCGCGGATGTGTCTGGGCCAGACGTTGGCTTTGATGCAGTTGAAGATCGCCTTGGTGATGACGGTGCGGACGTTTGACTTTGAGATTGTTTATGAGGAGGGGACGTTCATGTATCAGGTTCTGGATGTCACGGCTAAGCCGTCGCTAGGCTTGCCGACTAGAGTCAGGTTGATTGAGTAGTATATGCTTTGGGTTTGCTATTTGCAGGAGTTGTATATAGCGAAGCAGGTGTTTCTGCAGGTTTTCAATTATTTAGCAATGTTGATATTTTAGACGTTTTTTCAGTTGCTGTCCGGCTGTGATTGTCTCTATTTTGACAATGCATATCTAGTGACGCTGAGTAGTCTGAGGGACTCTGCGCCATCTACATAGAGTAGCCGGGATATTCAGCAAAATAAACTATCAGAAGAAGTGTGCATTATTTCGAAATCTCTCTCTTCGTTCCTTTCCGTACTCTTTGGCTGCTACAAAAGGTATTGGTGTCAGTTTAGGGCATGGAAAGGATGTTAGGGCTCACACTTTATATTCGGAGGGAGCGGCACCAACAGAAAGATACAGCAAATTCAATGTGATGCCGCAGACATGAAATTCACAGCACTATCTTAAATAATGGATAAGGAAAATAATAGAATTATTAGTAATATAAATATTACACCCTAGAAAATAATGGTTCTCAAGAACTAGGTAAGAGTAAGATATTCTGGAAGATAGCGAGGCAATAGGTCAGTGGAGCAGAGCAAACTGTAATTGTAATTTAGTACAGCTAAAGCTAGTTGTGAGTAAAGTAAGTAGTAGCGAGCTTGACTGGGATTCAACCAGCGATGTTTCAGAAGCTCTGTAAACCCGACTACTCATTTGTAAAACTCAGCAGTTTCTCAGGGCTGTTTCCTTCATCTGAGTTACGAGTAGGTATGATACCAGCAGGCTTCTGGGTGCCGCCTAGGACACTCTCCCCAATCCTGGACCCTGGAAGAAAGCTCCAACCGAAACGGCTGCGGAAGACTTGCTGCCCACTCAAGGATCCTTGTCCTGTCCTCACGATTTGCATACATATCCACGAGTAGTTCCCGAATTGGAGCCGACTCACTTGTGTTGTCGAATACATACTTTATCACATCACGAGGGGGGTACCAACATGCCCCATCTTTTGCTATTGACCTGCTTTTCTCCACAATAGCGTCAATGGCCCTGTTTCGCAACTGGTAGTCCAGTATTTTATCACCCAGGACATATGCCTTAGCTAAGTCAAGGTATTCAGAACTTCCTGTTGGCCCTGGTTCATCACAAAACACAGGAAGTGTGCCACAGTAGAGGCAGTGCACATATAGCGCAAATATTTCTGGATCATCGTCTGGTAAGTGGATAGTGCGTTGCTGAGACTCCTTCCAATGACCCGCCATGGCCTTGCCGAAGAATAAAGAGGAGGCGCGGAGCAGCTTTTCATGGACGATGAACACTTCTTGCTCAGCTCCTACCACTATATCGACTGTTCTTCCCCGAAGTCTTTGGCAAGAATTAGCATGTAGCAAACCACTACAAGCGGGTACTTACTTACTACCCTCATCCTTCGACGTTCGGACCCTCTTTGAAGGCATCGCTTTCGTGAAAGATGACCACTGGCCTCGACTCTCGAATGTGGTGCTACGATATTTGTTGATGTAATGTAGCCGCTGGGACGTCAGGAATGGTTGGATTTAGTATCTTAGACGCCTACTGTGCGATGCCTAGCTGCACCTCACTCAGGAGAAAAGGGTTGATGCTGACTGTGTGCGACTTATAAGAGAGAGTAGAATGGGATAAGCGCATGGTATTGCCTTGAAGAGAGTGAAAATATCTACGTGAGGTGTGAAAAGAGAGAGGGAGGTGGGAGGTGCAAGCCGCGCTAACCAGATGTGGCAGCGGAGGCCAGTATAGTGTTCTCACAGTGACTCTACAACATACATAGAAAGGACAGCTAAGTTGCTAGGGTGCCTACTTACTACACCTAATGTCATGTATGACGTGGTGGGTCATATACGGGCTCAAACAATCTACATAGAAATGTGTCTACAAATCAGCGAGGCGTCCATCTATGAGCAAAATGATGTATATGCATGGCATTGAGCCCACTACTTAACATAGTAGATCTCTTGAAGATAATATCATGTACGGGCTAAACATTCCTAGACTATGCTATATTCCACCGATAAAAATGACGCACGTTCTGGTTCCTTTTTTCGTTCTAGAAGTACAATATGCTACCGAGCGACTTTGTGCCAGAGCCGAACAGACCGCCAACTCCAATTTATCAGCAGCGTCAGCAATCCTGTCCTTATACTCGCTAAGCAACTGTTTAGTCCTCGTCAAACCCTTAATGGCTTCTTCCAGCTTGTGGTACTTCTCCCCCGCTTCGATGATACCAATGACCATATACCCAACGACACCTCCCATCATGGAAATTACGCCAGCCACCAACGTGCCCATGAACCCAAACATGGCGGTCAAGGTCGGGCCCAGGACAACGAAGATGGCGATACTGGCAGCATGAACTGCCGCTTCGGCACTGTATCCGTAATTTTTAAAATGATCGACCATGCCTCCAATCTCGCCTGGACTCCACCCTCCCACTTCGTGATCACCTCGTCGATGGGCGGCTGTCTACCCCTGCATCCAAGTTCTTGTATTTCTGACGTGCAAAGGCCTCTATCTGCATGAACCGCTCGTGGATGCCTTGGAGGAGGTGCTTAGGCTTGTGTGTATCGTAGATGACGTGGGCGAAGTTCGAGCGGAGAAGCCGGTTCATGGTGGTAATGATATTGTTGGATTTGTTGCATATGAACAGCAGGTCTGAGGTGATGTCGAAGACAAGGTCTGTCTGACCTGCTGCTCGCGCCTGGGGTTATCTGGTCTGATGATGGACGTCAATATTGCCCATGATATAGTGGTTCTATGTAGTGAAGCGTGGTCTGAAGTGATGAGGACATTGGGTAAGTGTCCTCTGTTAACCTGATCTCTACTCGATGGATCAAACAGACTATCATTATCTTGAATGACCTCCTAGGCGCTGCTTCTGGTCTTATCGTCACAGCTATTATAGACGCTATTGCTAGTGAGCAAAAGTATCAAAGGTTGAGGAGGCGACTTAGGCTCTCACTGATACCAAGAATACAGCCTGAAGTACAGAGAGCAGATCGCCTGTGCAGCGGATGACGTGATTCTAACAGTCAAGCTGGCTAAGACGGAAGCTGAGAAGAGCGGATAGGAGACGAATTGATGATAGTTCGACGTCTTTCTTTGCTTGATGAGCGACGGTTGCTGTAGGTAGGAGCTCTCATCTGAGTAAATGAGAATAGTGAATTTGGTATGTCTACTAAGGTCCGCGTTGAGAGAAAGTCGAGGCGTTTTTCATTGAAATTCGGAATGTATGACTTCCTCCTCGACATGTAACGAACTGTTGACGTTGGCCAAGGTGCGTTGTTTCTATTGCACTCATGGATATATTGTGGACTGACGAGTTCAATCTCTGCTAATCGACAGCTACAGTACAGGAGATATCCAGAAGGATTGAGCCAATCGGCATGCCGAATTGAAACAGTTCACTCTTGTAACATTCGTAATCAGCTATCCAGCTAGGCCTTCGAGCTTAACTGTTTAGATGGAAACAGCCGCAAGCTTTTCCAAGTAGTAGCTTCGAATCTGCTCGCAGACGCCCCAAATTCTCCTCCAGTTGGCAAGCCCAAGAATGTAATCATCGTTCTCGCATGTGTACTGACTCTTCTTCTGGATGCTTAGAAGTAGCTCAGAAGCTTTGCCTCTGACTCCTGGGATTGGAAAGTATCAATCTCGCCAATTTCCCAGAGCCACGGCATTTCACGTTGCAACTTGTCCTTCCAAAGGATGGGTGACAGGGTAGTAGTATGCATCGTCCATGAAACAGCCTTCAGTGTGAGAATAGAGTCAGCTGGAAGGAGCTTAAGGATCTCTTGTCGCAGCTCAGATGGGAGCCTATTGAAAATATCCTGATTCTGGGAGTGCTGATTCGGCCCCGCCTTTTTGTCCACGCAATTTATGATAGGATCAAGATCGGCGTCCAGCCAGGGAATTTTAACCGGGTTTACTACCAAAAGCTGGCTGTCATAAGTGTGTATTATTTTTCCCTAAGTGAGAACCGAAACTTCAACTTACCTCTTGACCTTTAACGGTGCACCAGACCTGTTCTGCAGGGGGCCCTGGTTCGCCATAACTGAGCTCTAGTCGGACGTGCCGCTGCCCATTCAAGTCTTCAAAGACATTGAACAGTATATCTCCCTTGATCGGCTCAGACTTTCCCTTGCGGATACACCTCTGGAGGATATCCTCGTAGCAAACTGAATGGAAAGGAAATACATGGGGTTCCCCAATGTTGGCAAAATCATGATAACTACAACAGTTAGGGAAGGATAGGTGAAAGAGGGGAAACATACGCAGTCATAGGGATAACCGCGTCAGAGTCACTGCGGAAGGGGAAGTTCGGATCTTAAAGCGAGGCCAGTTAATTGATTGTAGCTTGTTTAGGCTATAGGAAATTATGGGAGAAACTTACCATCCCCTGCGGCAACCTCAATACCCCCCTACAATACAGGTTTAGCTCCTCTTATTTCGTGACTCGCATTAAGATGGCCTTACGCAATCCCAGTAACGACCGCTGCCAGTGAGAAAAGACCTAAACCCTAATTAGAACATTTTCTTTGCAGTGCTCTCAGCAGAACAGACTTGTCGTTTCCATGCGCTTCAGGATTAACACCTAGAGCACGGAGTTTGTCGAGCCATCCCAGGTCGCAGTCCTTCAGAACTTCGTAGCGGTAATAGTCCTCCTCAATCCCTTCCGGGTCCATATCTACCTGGCTGGAGAATGGACCGCCGCATATTGCGCAAAATATCGCCCACCCGCCCATTTCTAATTCCAAAGTTGATTGTCAATAGTATGGGTCGGGATAAAGGAGAACCTTGGAATTGAGTTCATTCGCGGATAAAAAGGGAAGAAGACGGGGAAATTGAAGAAATAGTGGTGTCTTCTTTTTAGTCAGCAGTCACAGCAGCCTGCCTACCAGGCTACCATCCTAGTCCCCAGTCCGTATCATGGCTACAGTCCAGTCCACCAGAGGTTTGGCGCCGGCTCCACTAGGAGCATCAACCTGCGACAGGAGCCCCTGGTTCAGACAGCTGGTGTTTTATGCTTATTTACATACTCTCCAGATAGATTAAGTGGCGCTTGCAGCAATATCTTCAGCATTCAAGATTGGCTTTCTTGATTAATGCAGTGGTCCGAGCCCAATGGATTATGAACCATTGTCTCAACTCACAGAGACATTGTTGCGAGACATTGACGCCATTCAGGCTGATATACTCGGTTGCTCGGGCTTAAAAGAAACCAGATCCTCCATGGATTCGACTGTTCTTCATTCTTCAACCAATTCATTCATTCTCATTGACTGAGTCTGCGCTGGTCGCTTACATTCTTTCTATCCATCTATTCATTCATTCGCTTCTCATATTCCTTCCATTCTTTTACAATGCCTCAGGCAAAGTCTCTGTCTCTCCTGGCAGCTCTGCTGTTCGCCACCCGTGTCGCAGCCCACGGCCATGTCACCAACGTCGTTGTCAACGGGGTCTACTATGCTGGCTTTAACATTAACAGCTACCCCTACATGTCGGACCCTCCCAAAGTCGCTGCTTGGACCACCCCCAACACCGGCAACGGCCCCATTGCCCCCAGCCAGTACAACTCCGCCGACATCATCTGCCACCAAAACGCCACCAACGCGCAGGCCTATATCGAAATTGCTGCCGGTGATCGCATTCAACTTCAATGGACTGCCTGGCCAGAATCTCACCATGGACCCGTTATTGATATGCTCGCATCATGCGGAAAGTCGTGTACAACTGTCGACAAAACTTCGCTCAAATTCTTCAAGATCGACGGAGTAGGGCTGGTGGATAACTCGGCGGTGCCGGGCACCTGGGGGGACGACCAGCTGATCTCCAACAACAACAGCTGGATGGTCGAAATCCCTAAATCCATTGCGCCCGGCAACTACGTTCTTCGCCACGAGCTGATCGCCCTGCACAGCGCCGGCGAGGAAGGTGGCGCGCAGAACTACCCCCAGTGCTTCAACCTCAAGGTTACCGGATCCGGCACCGACTCACCGGCTGGTACCCTGGGCACGGAGCTGTACACTGAAAGCGATCCCGGCATCGTGGTGAACATCTACTCCTCCATCGCCTCGTACGCCGTCCCCGGTCCCACCATGTACTCCGGCGCCGTCTCCATCACTCAGACCACCTCGGCCATTACCTCGACTGGCACCGCAACCGTCGGCTCAGGCGCCGGCAGCACCCCCGCGGCCTCATCTGCTGCGACGTCCAAATACTCGACCATCGCCGTGCAGGTTCCCACCACTCAGGCTCAGTACACCCCTGTCCCCTCCGGCTCGCCTACGACCTTCAGGACGTCGCCTGCGCCCAGCAATCCCGTCCCCAGCAGCTCTGTCCCTGTTCCTTCTACTCCCCAGCCCACTTCTTCTCCTGGCGGTACTCAGACTGTCTACGGCCAGTGCGGTGGACAGAACTGGACTGGTCCCACTGCCTGTGCTTCCGGCTCGACCTGCAAGAACTGGAACCCTTATTACTCCCAGTGTGTGCCTAACTAGATGATGTACAGTAGTAGATAGTGAGCATTTAGTTATGAAGGTACATTGTATTTGATATCAGTATATAACAGACCATTCAGATGATTGACGTAGGCGAACCCTCAACGACCTAAGCCTTAGTAATATTAAAGTTTCCTGTCTCCGTGAGCGAAAGTAGGTTCGAGGTGTTCTGACCGTCGCCGATCCTGGTAAATCTAGAGTTGCAGCGGAACATCATCTTTCCTTATATGTTGCAAGGTTCTCTAAGCTTCAAAGTATATGCATAAGGCACTTAAATCTTCCATGGAATTGAAGCACTTTTCACTATTTAATTAAATGCCGAGGAATCCCCTGTGGGCTAAAACTTTCTCTTGCTCTCTCTAGCCAATAGAATGGTCGAAGCTTGGTACGAAGATGTAGCCAAGCTACCCTTGGCTGAATAGTCAATCCTTTAGCAATGAGCTTGACAAACTCAGGGATAGTGCCTTAACTAGTCTTCCTTTACGGGAACAGCATCCATCCACACTGTAAGGTAAGCACGCCTTCGTAACCGTTACATGGACTATTCATTCTAGCAATGGCCCCCGGAGTTGACGAATTATGTTAGGAGAAACACGCATACGATCTCAAGTCAGGTGCGCACTTTACTAGACAGATCAGCTAGGGATTATGTACTGCTATTAATATCTCCATCGCTGATAAACTTTCAGAATACGGATCCCTCAGCAGCCGCGGGTTGTAACTGGACCACGAATACGAAGTGGCTGCTACTCTGCAAACCAAGCCTTGAATCCATGCTCGGCCCCCTGAATCCCCACAAGCTTAAAGATCCTAATTTTCCTATCCAAATTCTCGCCTCCTGGTGAAGCTCGATCTTTTCATTTCAATAGAAAATACCAGTATCCTCCCCTCCAACAAGATGCATCTCACCAATACGATTGTCACAGCCCTCCTCCTCGCATCCTCGGCCCTGGCCCAAAGCCAATCCCAATGCGTTACCAGTTGCGAAACATCCCACCTCGAAGTCTCAGCATGCGAAGGTAATGAAACAGGCCAGGCACTCGCCGACTGCACCTGCGCATCGTTCCAGGGCCCATCCGATCCCATGCTTGTCTGCATCCAGTCATGTCCTGCAGCTGATGTCGCCGCATTCGCTGCTGGCATTCCGGCTGAATGTCGCGGTAAACTATTTCCTGACATCACTGTTGCGACTGGCAGTGGCAGTGGCACAGCCAGTCAAACACAGACGAAGAGCTCGTCCTCTACTACCACTACCGGTTCGTCTACTGGCTCCACGACCACTGGTGCTGCTGCCACTGGGACTACGGCTCATGCGACTACTACTACCACTGCGGCCGCCTCGTCGTCTACGAAGACTGGGCTTGCTGCTGCGAATCAGCCGGCGGGAATGGTTATGGCTATTGGTGTGTTGGCAGCATTTGCGATTTGATCCAGAGCAGGGGCAATACTAGATTGGGATGATGGCGCCTATATTATCACTGGCATATGTGTAGGCATGCTTGTCGAGGACACCGACGGTCGATATCTGTTGAATCGCTCATTCCACTGTAATTATGTCATGGTAAACAGGGTACTCTTGTGTCTGGTTACGTTGTTACATTTGTTCTAAGGATATCTTGCTGCCATGTTCACTTTCCATAGAGGTACACATATTACCATGGGCTTGGAAATATACTGTTCAGCCATCCTATTGGGAGTATGGTATATAGGATACTGCTTACTTGGCTGTTCTCCATCCAATACGCATGGCGGCCTTTCATTTATATCAAGGTCGTCTGCGTTTGGCCAAGCACACAGCTCTCAATAACTGAGACATTCCATACCTAGTCCGAAAATGACGGAAATCAGACACACAAAGTCTATCTCGGGAGGCGCATAAAATCCACAAGGCCATGAATTTGGATGAGAGTTTGATAGAAGCAAGGGTATCATGCTGCTGGAGGGAATCAAGCCCACGGAACGCAACAATAGCACGAGCATCTTATTGACAAGAAAGGATGACTCAGAGTAGGATGCGAAGTGATTCTTAGCGTTAATAACTATTTTTAACCATAACAAACATTTATTCAATGGGTAGTTTTGCAAGATGGGCCCTTCTCCCGTGCATGCTTTTGCGAGTGCAGGCTTTCGTATATGAAGAGATGTAGTATTAACACACCGTGGCTTGCCAGCAGTGCAATGAGTTGTTTTTAATTCGAGGCTTTCATGCACTGAGTATAATGAGTAACTATACATATGATCCATGGCCTTGATTATAGCCCTAAGGTGGAGAGAGTCGCAGTAAATATGGCAATAAATGGTCTCCCTGAGAGCACACTCTTCACTTTGTCCTTTGCAATCCTCCGATCCCCTTGCCCCATTTGCCGACTTGGATTCCGTCTCCATGTCACTGGTTCCCTCGGTGGACTCGCGCTTCAGCCGGCGTCTCTCCATCTTCTGCTGTCTTCGCTCAATCCGAGCAGCGACATCCTTGCCTTCCAGATCCAGCCCGTTAAACCATCCCTCCAATCCAACCTCACGAAACAGAAACTCTCGCTCTGCAGCCCACCTCCTTCGGACTCGGGTACGCTCACCCATCGCGACTTGACCCAAGTCTCCTCCCCTCTCCGGAGCAATGTAGCGACCTCTTCTTTCTGCCGGCCATCAAAGTAAATATAACTTGCGACCGTTTCATTCGGCGAGTTGGTCAAGGGTTGGTATGGCGCAACGGCTCTGGTCTACGGCCCGCGAAGATCAAACGTGTCTCCAATGGTAATGGAGACGTCACTCCACATCACATAGTTGTCTTTGCCAGATATAGCCCGGACTTGACGGTCTCCGGGAAAGTCAGCGGGCCGCTAAAAGGGTACATGTTCGTATTGCATTGGGATGGTTCTGTTACGTCTCCTATTCAGAGTCAGACACGTATGTATTTACGATGAGGAGAAGATTAGACGAACCAGGACGACAACCAAGTGCACTCTGCATGACAATCATGCAGAGCTCTAGTAAATGAATATCCCATGATATGGTGCCACGGTTGATTGCGTAGCATAACTAAGCAATAGCATCTGTCGAATAACATACTGACCAGCCCATGCTCGGGGCAACAAATGCCCTTGACAAGTGCCTTTTCTGGACGAGTCTTGCAAGGCATGAGTTAATCCTTCTGGGCATCTATTATTTAACCTTAAATTATTAATGCATGAACTCCATCACAGTAAATATATGTAAGTTACCATCCTAGATAACCCACGAAGCTAGCAGTGGACTGTTATTAGCTGGAGTTAAAGCTTAGATGAGTATATCAGAAGAATAAGGTTAAAGTTTTAGAAAGATAATTAATCTTCAGAAGCAGCCTTAATAGCTTTATCTAAAGATACTCAGTAATAGGAAGAATGGGAATGAGGAGAGGGGCAGGCGACAGGAGAATTAGGAGAAGGGGTATGACAATACAATTCACTACGTAGGCAGTATCACTGGAAGTATTCACCATCCATCAGCTTATCTTCGCAGCAGTGAATGATATGATCATATCAACGGCATGCCCGGCTAGACAAGGCATCTAGGAGACTATTCTTCCACTTCGATATGTAACTGATTTGTGGCGTTTACTTTCTCAGTAGATTGTTGCGATAACCTTGACCAGACGAAGAGGATATCATGCTAAATAAATCTGCTCAGATAGGGCCCATAGGTTAGATTATTAAGAGAATAGGGTTCAGACATATGCAGCCACCAGTATGGGAATTCATGACAGGCTTGTCGGCTCTACAGAGAAGACAGGCATTGATTTCATAATAGCTCCAAGGGTTCAGAGTGCTTTATTCTATGAATGTGACCATCTCCTCTTCAGCAAACTGACCTATTGCGATCGCAGATAGCATCTTTCTTTCTGGCTGCATTACCGCTGCTTTCATGCTCTCTGAGACATCAGGGCAAACAAACCAACAAACCACTCAGCTTATCCAGCACAACCGCCTGCACATCGGCAGCCGCATCGGTCTTGTCACTCCAGCCCACAGAGATACTCACATAGCATCCGTCCGTACCCACGACCGTCGACTCAGTCGGCAGCCGCGAGCTCCCACACGTCTCGACATCATCCGCCGACAACAGCCCCGAGAAGATGCGGGACAGCACGAACTTGAAGTCGTCCGCGCTGGCACACTCAGCGCTCACCTCGGGGAAGTTGACGTTCAGCCAGACCTGGTCGGGCAGGTAGGGCGTCCCCGAGGCGACGATCTGATTGGTGATTTTCGTGGCCAGCTGCGCATACACCTGGCTGTATGCCGGCACGGCCGCGTTCCACGCCGTCTGAGAGCCGGAACTGCCCGAGAAGGCGATCGCGGGGATCCCGGCCTCGGAGGCATAGTGTGCTGCGCCGACTGTGCCGGAGAAGTACACGGCCAGACCGAGGTTCGAGCCCACGTTGGGGCCGGAGACGGCTAGGGCTGGAGGGGCGCCGTTGAAGAACGGGGGCGCCGTGGTGCTGATGCCGTATTTCATTGAGGTGACGGGGTACGAGTTGACGTAGTTGAGACGGGGGTCAGAGGCATTGTAGCCTGTCGCGGGGCTGCCGGAGGGACAGCTGTTGAACTCGCATGGTTCCGTCAGAGTGGTGGGTGTTTTGTCAGAGGAGCCTGAGTTGGTCAGCACGGATTAAGCCGTTGACGAGGGGAACGGGACTACCTGTTCCACTCTGGTTTTCAGCTGGCGCAGACACCACGACGGAGTGTCCAGCTGCGGTCAGGGCCTTGTAGAACTGGCGGATATTAATCTCGGCCCATCCATCGTCGTTGGACGAGACGATGTTGATGGCCTGGGCTGTCAGGGGCAGGAGAACCAGAGGTAGAAGATGCATGGTGATGGTCGACAGCTATGCAGTCTCAATGCTGGGGGCCGACGCTGTATTTAAACAGGCCATCATGCCGCGGTCAATTCACAATGTAACAATGTGAAAACAAGGCAATGAGGAGATTGAGTACCCCATCAGAATAAGCGATGTTGATCTCGGGCATATTTTGGCGCACGTGCAGCATCGGATGGACGGAGTAAGAAAACCAAATAGATTAAGACAGATTAACAGACGGCCACTAGATCATTAGTCCCGGATGTCCTGCCAATCCAGGTAGATTAAGTTATGCAGAAGGGGAAATGCATCCGAGGGTGATGGGTATTTCATATCATGCAATATATTTCCTTCAATTGCCCCAATCATTTCACAGCGTGGAGGCTGAGACATCACCCAAGAGCTTGAATAGCTCTCTCTCGTCGGTCCTCACTTGCCTTTGGGTAGAGAACAGTGTGCTCATTGCCAAATTAATATATCTCCTTAACAAGTCTAGCATTTATTAATCAATGGGTCATCCTACAGGGTCTAGCTATGAGAAGGAATGTCAAATGCTGTCCAAAGTCTTGGTTGCTGCATTCCCAAGTACCGAGTCCTCTGTCAGTAGACACTGAGAACATACAAGGATGTCATAAATAGCCCATGGTAGTAACCATCTCTAAGGTAGTCAACTACTCCTGTCTTAAGAAATACCTCTCTAATAGCTGTACCTCTACTTCTTTCAGCCTAGGTACACACTACCAAGGTCCTGACTTGTCATTGGCCCAGACATGGTATCAGCACAATCTGATTGGCCAGATCATAATCTCCAGCCACTCACAACACCTTGTCAGCCCCACAGCACCCACTGCCATGACGCAATGGGAACTTGCCCCAGAAAATTATTGATAACCGACTCCGGATCCCCATTTTATCTCCAATCTACTCTCTCTCCCTCTGGCATGGCTTCATGCCTACCTTCAACACCACCTCGACCGATCTAGGGCTCGACCACCACATCACCTCCCCCATCGTCGAGCAATATGTCTACCCAACCTTCATCGCCGTCGCCTGGTGCAACGCCCTCGACCTGATCGTGCTCTGCTTCAACACCTTCAAGCGCTACTCCGGCCCCTACTTCTGGTCCCTCCTCGTGGCCTCCTTCTGCATCATCCCCTTTGGCCTCGGCTACGTCCTCAAGATCTACAGCATCACCTCCACAAACTACTTCCTCGAAATCGCCATCCTCGATGCCGGCTGGTCCGGAATGGTCACGGGGCAGTCCCTCGTCCTCTGGTCGCGGCTGAACCTCGTCTTTGATAACCGCCGCGCCCTGAAAGCCCTGCTATACCTGATCATCGTGGACGGGGTCGTGCTGCACACCTCCTGCACGGCGCTCGAGTTCGCGACGAACGCCCTGCGCGGGTCGAACGGGGTCGCGACCGCGTTCGACGTCATGGAGCGCGTGCAGCTCGTCGGCTTCTGTCTGCAGGAACTGCTGCTTTCGGGGCTGTATATCTACAAGGCGGTGCCGCTGCTGAAGATCGATGCGGATCGCCGCTCGCACGGGGTCCTGGTGCAGCTGATCGTCATCAACGTGGTCATTATGGCGTTGGATGTGTCGGTCGTGGTCGTGCAGTATCTGGGCTTCTTTACGTTCCAGGTTACCTTCAAGGCGTTGGTGTATAGCCTCAAGCTGAAGCTGGAGTATGTTATTCTGGGGCGGTTGGTGGAGGTTGCGCATGTGCGGACGCCCGCTGTTGCGCGGATGAGGTTATAGTTTGTATCACTCTTGTCTATATTTATAGATTGCTTCTTGTCTATATGCATTGTCTATATGCATTGTCTATATGCATTGTCAATATACATTGTCTATATAATTTGTCTACTCCGACCTGGCACTCTTGGTCTTCTTGCTCCTCAGCTTCATCATCAGAAACACCATCGCATAGCTCGAGATGCAAAACAGCGCCGTAATCCCGGTCTGCATCGTCAGTATCGTATCCTACCAGAGGGGATTGGGACATACATCTCTCCAGGAGTAATACCGCTCCTTCAAATTAAACGTCCGCGCATAGTCCGCCCCAGTGGAATACGGACAGAACTCACACGCCGTCGCATTCCCATCAACAAATACCCCGGCTTCTCAGCCAGAAACGCAGCCATGTACTCGCCGCACGTCTGTCCCACCGGCGCACTGAACCGCACCAGCTCCGACGGCTCGCAGCGCACCTTCACATCCCAGAGGACCTCACCCAGCAGGCCGCCGACCAGGTACGTGAACGGATCGAGGTAGTACAGCCAGTACCGCCAGAACGGCTGCATCTGCGAGTAGGGCACCACGACGCCGCAGAAGCTGACCAGCCCCGCGCCGATCAGCACGGGGTTCATCACCGCCGCGAAGTACTCGTTGGGTGCGTACGCCGCGATCACCTGCCCGATCGACGTGTACAGGAACTCGTAGATGATCATCTGCAGGTACATGTGCCCCGAGATGCTGGCGGTGGCGGGGAAGCCTGCGGTGAAGTACCAGCAGGCGAAGTAGAGGGTGGCGCAGAGGATGAGGTAGGGGATCTCGGAGACGGTCTGGGCGCCGATGAAGGCGAGCGAGTGGTATATTTTGGACTAGCATGGCATTAGCATTAGCACTGGTGACAAATAAAGGGGCAAGGGGCTGGGTACCTTCTTCTCTCTGGCTTCAAAAATATCTCGGTTGTGCAGGAAGAACGGCTGCATCTGGTTGATGCACCCCGAGCCGCTTCGTCACCATCGTGAACTGGAACCATTTCGACGTCGCGTAGTCGGCCGTGTCCTCGACGTAGTTGGCGTCGGCTTTGCCGCGGGCGTTGAGATCTTGCAGCTGGGCCAGCGCGCTCTGTTTCTGCTCGGACTCGTTCCACACCTGCACCCAATCGATCGGCTTGTCCGTGTTGCCCTGGATCACCTCGACGATGTGCTCGGCGAGGTTCTCGTCGGGAGGACACGGGGCTCCATGCCGGGCGAAGTAGTCCAGGACGATCTGCGAGTCTTTGCCCGTTTCGCCAAAGTACGCCATCTTGCCGCCGCGCGCGAGCAGCAGGAGCGAGTCGAAGGCCTCGAAGAGGACAGCGGAGGGCTGGTGAATCGTGCACAGCATTGCCTGCCCGCCGTCGAACAGTTTCCGCAGAAGCCGGATGATATTGTACGCGGACTGCCCGTCTAAACCACTGGTGGGTTCATCCAGGAAGAGCAGTGTCGGTTTGGCGACCAGTTCCACGCCGAGGGTTACTCTCTTCCGCTGTTCGATGCTCAAACCGGCGCCGGGGACTGTCGCATCGTCAGCCTGCATCTACAGCGTTGGAAGGGTACCTACCTCCAATCAACGCGTCGCCGATATCGCGCAGCTCCAACAGATCAATGATGTGATCTACGTAGGCCAGCTTCTCCTCCCGCGGAACATGAGCCGGCTGGCGCAGCACCACCGAAAAGACCAAAGCCTCCCGGACCGTGGCCGTCGCCTCGTGCACGTCCATCTGCTCGCAGTATCCCGTCGTGCGCTGGAAACTGATTCCTTGCGGCCGGCCGTCAATCAGAATCGAGCCGTAGATCTCGCCGCTGTCCTTGCGCTGGGCCAGCACATCCAGAAGTCTGTCACGTTAGCTACATTGAACTTATGGAGTAGGCGCCGGACTTACGTTGTCTTTCCGGCGCCGGAACATCCCATCAGCGCAACTAGGTTACCTGGCTTCACGAACCCAAAAACCTTATCCAGGAGCTGCTTCTTCTCACCCTGGTAGGGGACATGGTAGTCGAGGTTATGCCAGGTGAAGGTCGACTGCTTGACATGCGACGCCAGTGCGCCCTCCTGCACCGGGGTCGGAGTTTCTTCCGATTTTCTCCCCCGCTTGTACAGCAAAACAGACGATCCGCCCTGGCTATTGAGCAGCTCGAGCCCCATCGCCGTCAAAACGATAAAGAAAATCCAGAAGCCAACAATCACCCCGAAGCTCCGCCAAATGTGATGCCACGAGTAATTGTACTGTGCGCGGATATACTGCGCCCCGAGTATCATGTCACCCTGGCTGCCGGGGATCGAGCACCCCCGGTACGGGGATTCCGAGCCGGGATATCCAGCCCCGTAAGGGATGTAGTCCGGCTGCACGCACTGGAGCGATTTACACACGAACTCGTTGGCCATGAGGGCCTCAAAGGCGTACGCGCCGGGGTTGAGGTAGAAGATCCAGCGGAACCAGACGTGCATTTTCTCGTATGGGATGAGATTACCTACGCCGCTAGTGACGTCTTTAAATAAGGGGAAAGTACTTACCTCCGTAGACGAAGAAAATGGTCGACAGCAGCCCGGTGATCTTGGATGCGTTGCCGAATCGCTTGCAGAGTGCGCCCACGGCACGGAACATCTGCATGAAGCACAGCAACAAAGATGGCGTCCCATCTTGCCACATCGACCTTGACATTAATCCATGATATGACCATCAGCAATGAACTCACCGTTCCCCAGACGGCCGAGGCTGCTGGAATGAGGGTATAATTAGATGGCTTCGCACCAACATGCGCCTATCTGGCAGCGTGAAGGCGCCTCCAAATAACAGAGGGCGGCAAGCCCGCTAATTCCGCTACCCCTCCAGCTCCTTCCCACTGCAACATCCACCAACTCCCGACACAATACGGAGGTGTGGTGCAAAACTCATTAGCCGCTAGTAAACTTGGCATTTCCACTGTAAATAGCTATACACTAAAATTACTATAGAGACCTATAATCCTTCTAAAATAATACTTTTCAACTTCTCTATCTATCATTTCTTGGGCAAAAAAAGTAATTTGAAGCTATACAGAACCCCTTTTTCTCTCTTTAAGATGAATTCAATGCAGTGTTCCCCTACTATCCATATTTTCAGCCTGCCTACTTCCTCTAAGCCCTCCTCAAAGCCCTCGAAGCCATTAAAGCCATCAAAGATGCGTGGATCTTATCATCCAGTTACCATGCGCGTGCAGGCCCTGACTTTAGCCTACTGTGGTATTGATATAAAGCATATTATCATCATTAATCTAGACAGAGGTAATGAATATCAGGAGGGCCGAACAGACAAGGATAATCATGATTAGAAGGGTCATCGAGCAAAGGGTACTATCTCTTATAGGCAAGATATCGGTGATCTAGCCTGGGAAGATATTTTGTAGCCGTTTGAATAGCTTCAATATCCAATTCTTAGGAGTTGAAATCAATCGACGTAAGCTACCATATAAATTACTATGTAATGTTGCTTGGTCTTATTACCTTGCCAAGCTTACTAGCGGCTAATGAGTTCTGCACCACACCTCCGTACTGCAACCGCATTTCCCATTTCCATATCATTCAGCATGCCTAGTGGCCCTATCGCTGAGCTCATGACGTACGTTGGCTAGTTTTGGCTTTACTTGTTCTTATACGCCTCGACGTCTAAATAGCTGCAAACAGACTCCGTTTGCGACCAAGACCCATTGTGGAACAGCTGAGACCCTACTAAAAGGCGGTACGCTTGGCTTTTATGGATCGCAGAACCGTATCCGCATCTTAGGCAATTGGCTAACTTCCCCAAACCTTAATACCAAAAGGCGCTAACCTTCTTCACGAGCCATTTCTATGGCTTAACATTATGATTTGGAACTTATAACTTTATGTCAGCTGAGTCCGGCCGCAAACGCGGCGATACAGCGTCGGCCAAATCGGTTGACAACTTGAGTAGTGTACTTTTGTTGAAAGGCGTGCCGGGACATTTATAGTTAGCATGGGAATAATATATGCTTAGATCATCATAATTCTTATCGTACAAAACTGATAGGTGAATTACTGCTACTCCCTTAACAACCTGTTACGGAATGCATCCTTGCTGGATCTGTCCTAGAGCCCATTTATGACATGCATGATAATGAGTAATGAACACCGAAAGGGGGCGTCCAGAATGTGGTCGTGGCTTGTTGGGCCGAGCCGTGGGTACGGCCGAACCACACATCTGCATTCCCACATTAAATAGCACCTTTTTAATCTGGAATATCTCCACCATCCTGCTCTTTCTTCGGTAGATTATTAAATTGAGCATTTTACAGGCTGCAGAGTAAGTGCCTCTTAGATTTTTAAGGCAGGTAGGACCATTAATTACCTGGATAACAGATAATCCTCTGTATTTCAATCCTGATATATGAATTTGTCACCAGGTATGGGCTTATACTCCAACATGACTCAAAAGTCCCAATTCAGTACTTTATATAGTGCTAACTTTCTGATTTTAAGTTATATATCCCATGTTACAAAAATGCCATTTTGTATGGGAACAAAGATTCGCAGTTCAGCATTGGATTACGTTATTTGGTTAAAGTTAGGCTTCCTAGCTCTAAATTAATACGATGTTGTAATTGATACCAAAGATAAATCTCCACCACCTAGTTTGTTGCCTCAATAACGGCCTCTGCTTAGTATAGATTAATTGCGAATCGGAGAGAAAGACTAGATGAGCTTGGAGACTTCAGCAGACTGCGTTTATCATTAGATATAGTTCAAATGATTCTGATTGCCGAATTGCTCCATGGACCAGATGTCTAGATCAAGATCATGATGGTGACACCACACGCCTACATCAACACGGCATCATCGACCATCATCAGTCTCATWYATATGCCGCTTTCAGGACCCTGATGGCTCTATGGACCAGAGGTCTAGATCATAATGGTGACACCACACTGCCTAAAATAGTTGTATGATCGCCTCACTATTGTCGTTCAATTATGTCATACTGCTAACAGACTTTCTATCTGGATAAATAATAAACTCTGTAAAACTTATTTAAAGTCCCAGCTTATCCAGGCCTCCCTAACTATTATCCTTATCAATTACAATTGACAGACATCCAACCTGTGTTCAAAATAAGCACATCAGCATGGGAGTATCACAAATTCAAGCTTCGTTCCAAAACGATGGGAATTTCTCCCAGCTGGACCTTCAGGACATCCAGGAGCCTAGCAGTCCAATCATGCGCATTGAAACATTTAGATGCAGTCAACCGCAGGGAGAGTTTGGAATAACAAGTGCAGGGACTGATGTTGTCTCCCTAGCTGGGAAGGACCATTTACTTCCAACAAGCAATAAAACATTCCGCCACGTATTCTCTTATGGCGCTCCTCAGGACCTAAAAGCACTCCTTGAAATGCGGGAAACTTTTGAAGAAGACGGTGCTTTTGAAGTGAAAATGCGAGATATTGACGGACGGAGCACCTCATTCGGCTCTACTCTTGTCGCCTCCGCAAAGCCTAAAACTACTGGAGTTGCGGTGAACTACAAGTTTTTAGCGCCGCGGGAGACTTTACCAAAGAAAGTGATCAAATCTCCTCTTGAAGGACCTCTGACTGTTCAAATAAATACTTTGGTTGATATTGCCGATGTCGATGACAATAACACGATCCCGACAAGCCGAACCATAGCAGTGGATTTGATACCTAAGGGTGATACATCAGCTGCAATAGCCGAACTCAGCACATTCTCATCGGCGATCCAGCAAGAGTATCCGCAATGGACAGAGAATATGAAATTATTTACCACGATGGGGGATTTCCGCGACAAGACCATACACCCTGGACAAAATCTAGCCACCAGAAACAGCCGTGCCGCTGATTATATGATGATTCGCCCTTACCGCGTGTCACTCATCATGGCTGGACGGCTATTTGATTCTGCAATGAGTGCTGGAGCAAACCAAATCAATTCACGAGACCCTCTTGCGCTTGACGCCAAACCGGGTGTTTACAATGTGTTTCTGTCCGCCTTTGCCTCGAATATTGGACTTTACCAGCTTGCTATTGACAAAGCACATAGCGATTATGGTGGAGTACCAATGGCACTCAAACCAGGAAGCCGGCTTGAGAACGGTAGCCATCCTGTTATAGATGCGACGAACCTCAACCGAAACTTAGCACTAATTTCAGCTATATATTTTGCTCCGGATGCCCTTCCTCCAATCTTGGCGTCGCGACCTAGTATCTCAGTGTTTCCGATCCCGCCTGAAATGCCTTTGTTCGCATCTAGGGCTTGAACCTTCGCCATGGGACGATGCGGTTAAGGGAGAGATAAAAGTTATCAAATAGCTTTCTTTGGCAGGTCTTGATCAGTTAGAATTGGAGCACAGTGGGATGACAAAAAGTTGTAATACTGGCACTGGCTTTTTCTTTTGGCAGATTTATATTGAATCGACTATGCTTCCAATGTAATTTAAGTCTCCATACATCCTAATATTCATGTCTTATCATGCCAAGGACGTACACAACACCAGTGCAACTCTGTATTAATATTACATCTGAGTACAGTAGTAGCATGTACTAGGATTATTTTATTCCGGGTCTTCGTGTACGTTTATCAGGAATATCATCATATGTCTTAATGATACCACCTTGCTGCTCGTATTTGATGAGGCTTTTATCCTTCTGAGTTTGTAGTGCTTCTTTCCCTCTAGGTCCTGCCAGCAGTGTTGCCCCTCATGGTGGCGGGTGGTCCAGGGCATCACATTTTCTGATATACATCTTGCTAAAGTGAAAATTGTCCAGAGGAATCTTCAGCATTAATATGATCATCTCATTCATGAAGTATGCTGTTGGTTGTTGAGGAGCTTCCTCTTTTGTTAGTTCTTTTAACAGGGGCTGTTGTCCTCAATATAGTTCATAAGATAGAGATCCTGATTTTTTTTTTATTGCACTGATGAAGCAAATTCTGCCATATAGGGATCTGCCTATTTCTGGCTGTCCAGTTAATACCTGTCTTCTTAGAGTGTTTTGTAAGATTGCGCTGTGAGTGGTTATTTATAGAAACCATAACTAAGGTATCATCTGGCTTCACATGCTGACTGTGATTTACTTTCTGATGTAGTACAGCTTCTGCCTTCTGCTTAATCTACGGCCAGTATGAATTGGGTCTTAAAACTAGGTCTTTTTCTGTATCCTTTGCTGAGATCTGGTTGTTAAAGGTCACCCTCCATTCAATCATATATGGCATAGAAGTTGGGTGCTCATCATCTGTTGCTCCATTATCTAATTTATGTTCGTCAAGGAAGCGCAGTCTACCTCACTTGGATTAAGGCAAGGCTGTGGAATGTTCGCCAAACTGATGATTGGGCGAGAAACTATATTCAGATGGTGTATGTTCACAACCGAAGTCACTGGGGATAGGGATATATGAAGGGGATTGCGTGAGGTCCTAGCTTGAGAGGCAATACAGTTGTAAGAGGGTTGGATATTACCTCACTAAGGTGAAAGATGCTGCTGAGGAGCCTAATAATAGAATCGCAATATGTTAGCTTTCAGATAGTGGACTCATCTTGTGTCAAAGAAAATATATGCTGATAAGCTGACAAAAATGATGCACAGGGTCATTTGTGTGATTCCTGTTGATTCCTGTATAGCCTTGCAGCGAGCACTGAAATGCTAGGATGCCACCAATAGGAACATAATTTGCTGGATTTGCCAGGTGGCTTGGTGTTGGATTGACTGGTTTGCAGAGAAGCTTCCAGTCACTTGTAACCACCCATACAGGCATTGTATAAAGGCTCTATACAGCCCCATGTAATTTACATCTCAATACTAATATTAGATATATTTCTAGGATATTAGTCCTGTGCCTTACCTTATACAGCCTAGCTTCGACAGCCCACTGCAAGCCTTGTCCATGAAGTCTATCCATTGAATTAAGGCGGTAGCTTTGCTACCCACAGTATCAATGTAGGGTGTCAGTAAGTTGCCAACGACGTTTGATGGACTCTTTTGGCTCAGTAAAGAGCTCTTCAATGGGATTTAAATTTGGCGAGTGCGGAGGTAAGTATACGAGCTAGACCCCTGCTTGTGAACCCATTCGCTCAATCCACTCGGAATGGTGAAAAGAAACATTATCCATGACAAGAAAAGATCTCAGCTCCAGTCATCAATAATGATGAAGTAGCTCTGCGTCAAGTCCTTCAAAGACAGGCTTCAGTCGAGCATTGGAAGACCTTGGAAAAGACGCTCATCTTGGGCATAGGCTGGAGGAGTCTGGTATTGCTGATCAAGATGGAAATTTAGCCACTTGCATGAGGTGCTACGCCATGAGGAGACCAGCCAGTTCGCCTAAAGCCTATCCCTTTATTACACCCAGATTCATCCACATAGGCATGATGATATAAGCAAATGCCAGAGATGAAGGGGAAGAATCCATCCCGCAGATCAGCATTGCATCTCTTTTGCTTTCCTACCTTCGTTGACCACCCACGTGTCCATGCGTACGGGCTGAGACAGGATATTGTTGCCTTTTCCTGAAGTTCATCCCATATGAAAAGTACCATCTAATCAAGATATAAATAAGGCTTTTTGATTAGATGGTCACAAAGAGTTTGAGTCATAACAGGTGCGAGTATTCGTGGCCATCCTCTTGTGAGGCGCTTTCACGCCTCCAAACAAAGAGGCGCACCCGTCTGATTGTAAGCTCATTGCAGCCAACCCCTTCAGCTATTTGTCGGAAAGTGAGTTCATTACTGATAATCATATCCTGGATAAATTCCAAGGTTGATACAGCTAGATTGGGTGCCATCCCTGTCGCGGCACTCAAATGGTCAACCAGGTCTTGCGGAAAGATCTTGGAGTGAGATGGTAAGATGTTTGGCCAGGGGCACTCGAATATTTGATACAAGTTGCGGTACATTATGTTCTGTCATAAAATTGTTCATATAAATTACAGTACCAGCCAAGGATCAAGACTCCATCAGAATGATTACGAAAGTAGTTTAGCTTTCCTTAGCATTAGGGTTTCGAAAAGATGACAGAAGTATAGGACCCGGGCACCATTTTCGCAAACAACTATATGGTAGGGATATCAAATGATTCAAATCGTCATATAGTAGGGATTCGAATCGTCATATGGTAGGGATATTGAATCCTTATATGCTGAGGTAGTGCCCTATATGGGTAGTATATATATATATAGAAGGTCATATGGGAACCCACTAACTAACACTGTATATTTAAAATATATATACCTAAGTATAGTAATATATAAATAATATAATTATTTAAATAATTCAAATTCCTACTATATAATGATTCGAATCATTCGATATCCCTACTATATGGTGATTCGATATCCCTACTATATAACGATTCGAATCCCTACTATATAGTGATTCAAATCATTTAATATCTATATGATATAGGTACCATATATTTTATATAAAAATATTAGTTTCTATAAGCATGCTAGATAGACTATAGCCTTATAGGCATAGTGGTGCGTGTGGTAGTTTTGGTAGTAGTGTGGCGGAAGGTAATCATTGTAAAAATTTATTTTGACCGGTTTGTACATTCAGTCCGCCGTAGTAGTTCGGCACTAAAGATGGGAAGGAAGATTCAATAATGTTTTCCAATGTTTTCTAATAATATCTAGCAAAGCAGCAGAACAACAGAGAAATAAAGCGGTTTAGTATCAAGGCCAAAGGGCCCGGCCAACTACATGCTTAAGCACATGCTAATCAGAACATATTGAAACAGTACTCAAGGTCAGTACACTGCCCAAGCCCAGTTCCACCTCAATCGAGCAGAAGAGACCAAAGCACAAATTTGTCTGCAAAAGCGGTCCGATTCCTCCCACAAAGAATCAGATCTTAACTGAACCAAAGGAAAAGCGACATCTAAGGGTTGAAAGGGCAATCCAGTGACACAGATCCAAAAGGAATCGCAGTACATCCCTGCCTATCACCAGCAAAAACCGCAGAGCTCCCTTCACAATTGTCTCCAGACCAAGTTGTTATCTTGCAACTGCCCCTGGGACGCGGGACACTAAAGGAGGCTCCTGGCAGATTATAAAAGCACTTGGAGCCCGAGCCGAGTGCAATCGACGGGTTGGCAGATGAGCCCTCGCAATTGTTTCCAGACCAGGTTGTAATTTGAATGGAACAGCACCCATCACCTTGGCAAGCAGTGTCATCTTGACAGCAGGCCCAGTCTCCTCCACAGCCTGTGGAATCTCCGCAGGCGAGGATGCACATGCCTTGAGCAAACTGACTCCCAGCAGTACCTCCGAACGCACTGCAGTTCTCTACACATTCGCTATGTGCTTTCTGCATAAACATATGAGTTAGTCTCTATTCACGAATTCTTGGGATATATAAAGAAACAGAATACATACGCAGTCACAGTCTCTCTTATGCTGTTCTGAGTTCAGTCGAGGGCCGGGAAATGCCAGGGTGACAGAGGTCAAAGTCAAGACAACAACAGTAAGTAGCTTCATTTTTGAAGTCGAGGAGATAGAAAAGTCTTCAGTGTCTTGCTTTCATGAAGTTGTAACTTAAAAAGTTGAAACTGTGTGGAGGATCATCTGTTAATGAGTTTGGTAATCGTTGTTGTTGAGAAGAGGCATTGGGTCACTTTTATATTTTTCCTTTCCTTAGAGTATGGTGTCCAGCCAGTCTAACAAGAAAAGCGCCCAATGTAGGGTGCCTGAATGACAAAAATAAGATACTCCCAAGACCACAGTATACACTACAAATAGCTAAAATGACATGCATCACATACAAGGTTGAGTCTCCTGCTCCACTAAGCCACTTAGGCCCTGGGAGGCTGAGTGCTTACGGTAGCGAACATGGAGAGGATCGCTCTAATAATTAGCTATAAATCAAAGCTACTCCAATCATAGTAGATATTACTTATCTGCGAAGTGGTCAGGCCTCCAAGTTAAGGCGTCCATATCTTACATAGTAAGGTCTATATAAGGTAATCGGTCAGCGAATCGGTCAGGGCACTGACTATAGAGAACAAGGGCGATCTTATTATAAAAAAAATGATAAGCTTAATCATAAGCTGCATCTCATTATTTGCGACGGGCTGCGAATCCAACTTTAGCTCTTGGTATTTTGCGGCCCAGGATGACCAAAACAGCACCATGCTGCTAGAGCGCGGCGCCATACAATAGAACAGCAGCCTGGTGCAAGAATCGCATCGTGCGCAACATCACTGCGAGCCTCGGTACCGAGGAACTCGATGTAGAGTCAATCCTTAAGGTTAACATGATAAGCGGCGAAGA